ATTAGGAAATGAGATCTAAAAACTAACACAGGATTTCTTTCCTGATTTAGAGCTATTAATCATTTTGGAAACATAAAAACAGGACAGTATTCTTATAATAAACATTGCTGTGGTCAATCTATCAGATTCTCAAACAAAGGGATCCTGGCTGGAAATTCAGTTAGATGGCTATGCATTATACAGAATTTATACCCATAACTAAATAATCTTCTTCATAGACACTCTATTGTTTGAGAACAGGATTATCTCTGAAGTCATTGTAAAATACATTAGGCCACAGTCACTAACTGGATATATGAACATTCTGGGCCTGGTGATAATGACTTTATAGTCATTCTTATAACAATTTTAGAAGGTGGTACTGGTGTCATTCACATTTCTGTAATACTAGAGGTGATTTTCTTAATCACACAATTAATACAGTGCTGAAATGTGAACTCAGGCACCCTGAACTCAGTGTCTCCACACAAAACAACTCTGCACTCTAGGCTAAGAACACGTAACACTTTAAATTACACACAGTGGGCTATTTCTTGACACAATTTAATAAACAAATGAATAGAATAAGAACTCTAAAAGGACTTTTCTCATTAAATTGATTTATTGTCATTTTCTTTGAAAAAGTTATTATAGCTTCATTTGCCCACTACCTTGTGTGGCAGCTATGATCATCTCTGCTTCATTTTGACATGTATTTACTTTGTGTCCGGGTGTGGAAGTCAGGGGACAAGTTGCAGGAATCAGCTCTCTCTTTCACTATGTGGATTCTGGGCATTGAACTCAGATATCCAGGCTGGATAATAAGCACCATTATCATTAGACTATCTTGTCTGCTCCATATTTTTTTCTTAAATGCTAAAAAGTCTAATGAAGGGGCTTGAGAGATGGCTCAGTGGTTAAGAGCTCTGGCTGTTCTTGCAGAGGACCCAGGTCTCAGAACCAACATGGCAGTAAACAACCATCCGTAATTCCAGTTCCAGGGGAATCCAATGCCTTCTTCTGACCTCTGTGGGCATTGCATGACACAGGTGAACTTATATACAAGCAGGCAATATACTCATATACATAAAATAAAAATAATAAATAAAATAGTTTTTAAAATTCTAATGCAACCTTGGAAAGAACAGTAATCTGTAATTTAGTCTCTTCCTGAGTTACCATTTAGAAAACAAAATCCTAAAGGGTGACTTGCAATTAATGAGGTCTGATATGGTTCTTTGGGGTTTTCAAAAGATTAGGCAGTTCTAGACAAAATGAAAAGACACAAATCAGCTGTGCTGGATAGATTGCTCTAGTGTCAACTTGACACATCTGGGTTGAAGGAGCCTCAATTGGGGAATTTCCTCCATTGGACTGGCCTGTGGCCATGTCTGTGGGGCATCTTCTTGATAGAGTGATATGAGAGAGCCCAGCCCACTATGGGTGGTGCCACCGTGGGCAGGTGGTTCTGCATTGTATAAGAAAGTAGGCTGAACATGGGCCAGAGGAGTAAGTCACTAAGCAGCATTCCTCCATGGCCTGTGCTTCAGCTCCTGCCTCCAGGTTCCTGCCCTGAGTTCCTACATTGGGCTCCCTCAGAGATGAACTGTGACCCAGTAGATGTAAGACAAATAAATTCTGTCTTCCCCAAGTTGTGGTCAGAGTGTTTTGTCAGAGCAATGGAGAAACAAACTGGAACATCAACAGTCTTTCTCCAAGGAGAAAAGAAACAGAAACTTACACATTCAGAAAGCAAGGACAAGAATGAAAGCAAAAGCAGAGAAAACCTAAGAAAGAAAAGTATCCATAGAAAAGAAAACCAGAAAATTAATTAAATCCTCATGCAAAAAGACAGATGAAGAAAAATAATTTTTTACATTTATTTATTTATTGCATGTGGGGGATGGGCAGAGGGGTGGGTGTGCTTACGCCACAGTACATGTGCGGACGCCAGATAACAACTTGTGGTAATGAGTTTTCTCATTCTACCATGTGGATTCTGGTGTCAAAACTTAGTCTGCTGCAGTCTTACCTGCTGAGCTATTTTGCTGGCCCCAAAAGGCTACTTTTTTAGAACTAGTGACTTGACTTTTTGTTTCTTCACCATTCTTTTTCTAGAAGGGGCCTTATTAGAATTGTGGTAGATTTTTAGAAAAGAAGTTCCTGTCTGTTTTCCCTCTGGTACTGACACACAGTCTGCTTCACTCAATTTTCAACCTATTGGTGACTCACACTTCAAAATAAATACAAAATTGCCTCCAATGAATATTATGAGGTGCTGATTGAGGGGGATTGGTAAGGATATCTACATGGGAAACCAGCCAGTGATGTTACCCCACATTATTATCTAGGGCTTAGCACAGTTATCTTTATTTCACACACAGTATTTTTCATTGTTACTTCTTACCTGTCTTCTCATTGCCTTTAGTATGTGGCTGCAATAAAAATAGGATCTTTGTTTATTTGACTAACAGTACTACAAAAGGCTGGTTATATAGTATGTACTTGTGCCCAGAGAAAGGATCCCCAAGAATTACCATGGAGTCCAGAGAGCATTCAAGAATAAAGAGTGTTTATTCGGGCTTAAGCTCGGACTCTCAGACCAAACTAACGTGGTAGGTTCTGGTAGGTTCGTCTGAGAGGCCCGATTGCAGGGGGAGGGAGATTTCATAGGTTTCAGACAAAGGGAGGAGGGGAACGACAGAGTTATATTTTGATTGGTCCAAAGAGCCCACGCGTGCCAACATACGTTTGAATTGATTGGTTACAGTCTTGGAGGCTTCTTCATTGGTGGGTGCTGCCTTCAGGGCTGTGGAATGTGCTGTTATCTTAAGGGCTAGAGGACCCTGTTTATTCCTTATAAGGCCTCAAACCTGCCCAGGCCCCCTGGACATGCTTGGGCTTGCCTAGTCTATGACCATGAGACATCACGAAAATGGAGGAATCAGCAGTCAAAATGGAGATGGTGCGGTTTGTCCCTCTGGTTCCCTCAAGCCAAGCAATTTACAGAAGCGAAAAGAGCAGTTAGTCCTAAATAGGGGCAGGGGTCTACGGAGTCCGGGGAAGGGAGCCAAGGAGGAGGGTTCCACACTTGCTGAATTATTCAAATGATAGAATGAATGAATGATATGACTTTAATACCAAACATTTACTTTGTTTCTTTTTTTAAGAAAAAAAACTTTAAAAAAATTTTTATTTATTATTTTTATTTTATGTGCATGTGTGTATTGCCTGCATGTAGGTAAGTGCATCTGTGTCATGCAATGCCTGTGGAGGTCAGAAGAGGCTGTCAGATCCCCTGGGAATGGAGTTACGGACAGTTGTTAGCTGCCATGTGGGTCTGGAATTCGAACCCAGGTCTTCTGCAAGAACAAGTGTTCTTACTGCTGAGCCATCTCTCCAGCCCCCCTCATTTGTTTCTTTTTTAAAATTTGTTTTTGTTGATCTTTTGTGTATTTCATACAGAAAATCTCAAACAATCTTAATCATCTTTATAACCATGTCACCAGTGGCACCCTCCCATATCCCCCCCTACTGGAACCAATATACTGTATCAAGTCAGTGTCCCCAGACATTCTCCAGTGCAAGTCCATCCACTGAGGTCTAGTCAGCCTATCTAGAGTCCCTTGTTTTAGGAAGATCAGTTCTTCCTCACCTAGCAGTAATCAGTTTCCAATATTTCTTCAGCTAAGATTGGGGTCTGCTATTCATTTCCCCAGTTCTATGCTGGGTTTTTGTCTGCCTGAGTTTGCATGGGACTTGTGTATGCGGACACCATTGCCATAGAATCATATGAGCTGGGACCTTTTTCTTCACCAAAATAATGGCATTGTTTCCCATATTCAGTCATCCATCCCTCTTCTTTCTCCAGTGTTTGAGACCAAAGGCAGAAGAATAAGCACCTGGGAGCAGAATATTTTTTGGTTCATTGGACTATTTGTGCTGTAACATATTGAACAAAATCCACACACAGCTAGGGGCTGGAGAGTACATTTTTGCAATAGTTCTAAAAGGCGTCTGTAGAATCAATACAAAATGGACAATTTTAATAGCTGTGTAGAAACATTTGTTCTGTGTGGGCACCAAGTCAATTCTCAAAATTAAGTAAAGAAATGCCAATGTTGTCTGAAGAAACAGAAAAAAAAGAACCCAAAATACCATGATTCTATTCACTTCAGCGACTCCAGTATCTCACAATAGGCCTGCCCCTATAGTCAACTCAGAACTCCCATTTGTGGCAGAAGTCACCAAGGACTCCGTATTCATAGAGTGCTTTACCTGTTGCAGCTCACAGTCCTTTAGGGGCATCTTCACTGTGCAATGTCAACCAGAGAATAACATAAGAGCATGGGATGAAGTTTCTCTGGATATTTGAAATGTTGCCATGAGACTCATGAAGATGCTCCAATTCTATTGTGTTCCAAAAGCTCCCAGGTTTCCCTGGGTCAGTCAGATTTCACTGAATATGCTTTATTAACAGATTAATTTTCCTAAATATGCTCTTTCAGTAGCTTGGATAACCCTTCCATTGCCCATATAATTCTGGACCAAGAGAGTCTACTCCTAGTGTTAATATATTTAAGATATACAGCCTCCTAGCTTCCTGCTTAGTGGATGGCAACCCTAGGGAGTCAAATTTATATGACTTCCCTACTGAAATGATGCTGCCATTTTTCTCTGTGAGTGCTTTTTTCTCCCCTTCTCATGACATAGACAAATGTTGATGTTTACTACAAGTTGGAACATTAGTTACTAATTAAGTTCCTAGCTGCTCCAGCCAAAAGTTGCTGTATTGAATCCAAGAAAAGAATAGCAGCTATATCAAAAATAAGTTGTTGGGGATTTTTTGTTCTGTTTTAGTAAAAGAAAGTCGTCTATTAAAGAGTACAGGGAATCTACAGGCTGGGAGATGGGAGCCTTCAGTCTCAGCTTCCTTCCAGTTGGTGACTAAAGTTTCCTTGCATCTGTCACTAGGCAGGCCCGGGTCAAAGTTGTAAGAATATTATAATACCAATCAAAGCATGAGACAATAAAACTCTTTAATGTAGTTCACTTTTTCACACTTAAGCCCCAATTCCCAGAGGAACAAGTTCCTTCTTGAGAACCCGTATTGGGGTGAGATTAATTGTAGGAGGGGTGCTGAAATGAAGCCTGGGGTTCCATGATTCAAGAACTTCTCTCCTTAGAGTCCTGCACCTTGGCTGGGCCAGGTCTGCCTTCCTTCCAGCCTAGAGGGTAACTCTTCCCTCACATTCATGAGGGTTTAGGGAAATTCCTCAATTTTCGAGAGTACTTCCTGTATTTTAACTAACAAGCGGGTCCGGCAGTGGGGAAGACAAAATTATCAGTAATTTAGCACTGCAGACAGTTGCTTTCTCCACACAAAGAATTCGCTTTCCCTTCTGGGTTCCCATAGTGTTTTTGACCAAAGTCCTCTAGTGACCGGCAGGGAGTCAAAGGCTTCCTCTTCTCTGACGAAACCCGGAAGATGGCGTTCTGAAAGTCTTTGGAGAAGAGAATTGAAACTGAAACCAGTCACGTTAATTATATAAACTGTAGGCGGAAAGCTGGACTCAAAGTTCCTGCACTGCTCTTTCTGGGCCCACTGCTACCGCGTGTCCCGGCCCGCTCCAGACCCACCTGCCATCTGCCACCTGCCACCTGCCCAGGTGCCACCCGCCCAGGTGCCACCGCTCCCGAGCGCCCGCCTGCTCGCTGTCAGCAGCCTCAGCTCTGCGGATCCGGCTTCGGAAACAGAGCAAGCAGCTGACCCACTCCCACCTGTTGATCGTCCGCTGGGGAGAGTCCTCTCTCTGCCTCTGAGAAGCAAAAATGTCGAATGGATGCTCTTCGGCAGAGAAGAGTTTCCGCTATCTCCTGTCGTGCTTCAGGACCAGGGTGAAAATGTACATCCAGGTGGAGCCGGTGCTGGACTACCTGACCTTCCTGCCCGCAGAAACCAAGGAGCAAATTCTTAGGAAGGCCGCCACCTGCGGGGACATAAGCGCGGCGGAACTGCTGCTGAGCACCCTGGAGAAGGGGGCGTGGCAGCCCGGCTGGGCTCGGATGTTCGTGGAGGCCCTGGAGCAAAGCGGCAGCCCCCTGGCCGCGCGCTACGTCAACCCCACGCTCACCGATCTGCCCTCCCCCTCCTCTGAGGCCGCGCTCGATGAGTGTCTCCAACTGCTGAACCTCCTTCAGCCCACTCTGGTGGAAAAGCTCCTCCTTAGAGATGTTCTGGATACTTGCGTGGAGAAGGAACTGTTGACAGCTGAGGACAGAAATCGGGTAGGTGTCCCTGTGGATGGAGATGGGCCATTGACATTTCCGGTTTCCCCATACAGAATGACCTTTGACTTGAGCAAACCTGCTCCCCCTTTCAAAATGACTTCAAAACAGAATTGTGAACGTTTAAGCATAAAAGCTATTTTTTCACATAATAATCAATGTTAGAATAAGAATGTACACTAATGTATACTAATATGGTTTATGAACACTTTCTAAGTATAATATTAATATAACTTGTGTAATAAAATGTGTTATTAGGTATTATTTTTGAAATGTATTATCACAGTTCATGTTTAACCCAGACAATCCTAAAGATAGTAATTCCATTTTACAGATGAGAAAACTGAGGTAAGTTAAATAATTCCCTCATGTTGTCCAAGAAATAACAGCTGCAGTGCTACTGTCACCGATTCAAGTGCAGATGGTGTTGAATTTTTTTATTTGGTTAATGTACTTCCTTAGAACAGCAATCGGCAAACTGTGGCCCACACACTACATCCGGCCTGCTACTCGTTTTTTAAGAACCACAAGCTAAGAATGGTCTTCAGCCTTCTGAATTTTTTAAGTGTTCATAAAGTTTTATTGAAACAGTCATTGCTTATATACCTTTTAATGGCTGCCTTTTTACAGTTGAATGGAGATAATATGGCCTATAATCCAGGCCCTTTAGAGAATATGTTCTCCAATTCCTGATTTATAGTATATATCATTCCATTAATTCTTAGTCCAGAAGTAGAATTGCCTCTCCTCCCCTCCCCTCCCCTCCAGTCCCTCATCTCTCCTCTCCTCGTGTCTCCTCCTCTCCCCTCCCCTTCTTTTCTCGCTCGCTCTCCTTTAATCAAAGTTTCTATATTCTCTGGAAGTAAAAGTGTAGAGAGAATTCACTGACAAGCAAATATTGCTAGTCTCTTTTTTTTTTGTACCAGTGAATGAGTAGAAGAATTTTGGGAGTAGCATTTGACAGGGTCAGTTTTACAGGTGACCTTATGTAATGTTAATTGTCAGTGAGCAAAGATGCCATGAACTACATACTTGCTGAACTATTTGAATTTGACTTATCCCCAGTAGCATGTCAACAGTCTTATATGAGGGCTGGATGGATGGCTCAGGAGTTAAGAACAAGTACTGCTCTTGTAGAGGACCTGAATTCTGCTTCTAGCATCCATGTCAGGCAGCTCAACCACCTGACCTGTAACTCCAACTCTAGATGTCCAACTCCTCTGGCCTCTTTGGGCACCTGTTCTCACATGCACAAACTGACACACAGACACACACAATATACATAAATTGTCGATAAATAAACCCATTACAAGTCGAAGGCTGTGTCTATACTGTGTTATGGTTTTTGACTTTTTCTTCCTTTCTTTTTTAATTCATCGATTGTATTTTCATTACAGACTCTGGGCATCAGATCGATTGACTACAGCCTATGATGTGATTTGGTTTTTAGTGACTAATGTCAGTGGTACTTTGTAGACTCAACAGCACCTGGTCCTATCCAAAGAGCCAAACATGCATCTAATTTTGATGGCCAGTTTCTCCAACAAGTAAATTACTTTGCACTGTTGTAGTAGCGTTTATGTCACTTTGTGTATTGAGAACAGACTAGAACGCATTATAGTGGTCCAGCTGGATATGACAAATGTGTACATCACTGTGGCAGAATCTTAATTTGGAAGAAAGTATGCAGCCTCCAAGCCAGCTGGAGATGGAAAATGGCATTTCCAGCCACAGTAGCTGTTAGGAAGTCCAGAAGCAACAGAGTCCAGTCACACCACAAAGCTGTTTATGTTTGCTGGTATGATGTCCTGATTGCCAGTGAAACAGCACTTCTTCTTATTTACTCTAAATACGTCTGCCTATCAGCATCACTTTTGTCTTGCCTGGGCTGAACTTCCGCCAGCTACATTTTATCCAAGTTCTTGATTCTGGCAAGCTTGGAGGCAGCTAGCAGTAATGCAAGGGATTTGACACAAAGAAGATGGATAGTAAAAGGACTTTTGTGTACTGGCAGCAGTTAAGACTAAACACCCCAAACTTTCTCCCAGTTTCATGTTTCAAAGGAATCCCTGAAAGACTGAAGAGCTATAGATTTGAGGTCCTCTAAGGAGTAGTGGTGTGTCTGTCGACAGCTATAAGCATCTCCTTATGCATCATTTTACATTAACAGTTCCAAAAATAAGCATGAGGGACAATGGGAAGGAAATATTACATTTGGCAGAATCTCGTTTGATACACGGGTCTCAAATGTTTATCTTACAGCATCCAGAAAATCATGACAATTTAGAATTGGAGGGTACAGTTTGGAGGTCTGTCATTGCTTTCTACTACATGTGAAACTGGGTCCCTGATCCTAAATTTATCTGTGTCAGCAAATAACAATACTTTTTATCATCAGCATCAAATGAGTAATAATGTTTTTGCAAAGCTTTATAAGTAATGAAAGCTATTTTGATACAAAGAATATATTGACTTTATCAAAAGTTTTGTTTTTGTTTACCTTTAAGGTTAAAGTTTCAGGGATTTAGGTAAATGTCCCATGTAAAGACCTGCTTCTTAAAGTCTCTGAATTAAACTGATTTGAAAGAGGAACTATGTCTTTTGCCTTGTAAGCACCCAAAATCTAGCCAATACTAATGAGTATTCATCACTTGATTGCATTTGAATTTATTTGCAAGATAAAAATGAGTTGAAAGCATGTAAGTTGAACTGGCTTGCCAGATACTGGAGAGCGAATGCTTGGTGGACATTAGGCTTCCAAATTAGAATTTTAACAAATTAAAAAAAGATGTTAAGAGTTAAACTTCACCTGACTAGGTAAGTGAGATTTCTAAAAATGATCTCTTTTTTTTATTATTTTTGTAGACATTTTAACTGAATCTTAGCCAAAAGGCTGAGAAATCATCTTGTAGGCATTTTCTAGCTGATCAGTTGCTTTACTTTTGAGAGATGGCTCAGTGGGTAAGAGCACTGGCTGCTTTTGCAGAGGACCTGGGTTTGATTCCCAGAATCCACATGGCAGCTAACAACTGTCTGTTACTCTAGTTCCAGGAATTCCAGCGCCCCCTTCTGACCTCCGTGGCCAGTACAGGACATGGGTGCATCCACCTGCATACAGGCGTCACACTCATACACATAAAATAAAAATAATAAATAAAATATAAAAACGTGTTCATTAAGTATCCAAAAAAGATATATAACTTAGCCATTCATCCTGAACTATTCTAAAAGACACAGCAATAAATACAAAAACCATTTTATAGACAATCAAAACAGAACAACCCTTCACAGCAGTGGAATACTCCTATACTGCTTACTTTTTCCAGATGCATAGTGACATCTTGGTACATCCTTTGACAAATCACAACAAGCTGTGAGACATAAGTGCTTACATTTCATCATACTGTGATATCAGTATGAACAGGTAAGAAGAGATTCATATTTTAACCCTGACTGAAATCACTGCCCACCTGCAGTCTTGATGATGTCGTACACCCTTTATTTACATGGAGAACTGAGAAACCATGCTAGCCCAGAGAGACACTGAGTCTGGATCCTCCAGCATGAAGCTGAATGTCAAAGTAAGTTTTCCCCTAGCTTATTGTATTGTTAGGCAAAATAAAAACAGAGGTCTTCTTGGTGAAAAAAGAAAAAGGTGTGAATAAGATATTAGCTATATAAGTTTGAAAATATTCATTTGGACAAAACATGAGCAAATTATTTTTAACGCACATTGATAGCTGTTGGAAAGAAAAGGAATATCAAATTTAAAATATAGAAGAATTGAATGGTCCTACCTGCAAATTCACCTATGTTCTATAATCCATTAAGTAGCTTACATATTTTTAACTTCTCAGGAAAATATTCCAGATGGGGAAGGAATCATCTGCTAACAATTATAAGTCTAAATACGGACCTCCCAGAAATTTCAGTTATTGTGCTTATATGTTGGGATCTAAATATTTTCACAATCTTATAGGAAAACAGATCAAGTGGAACATACACATGCACACATATGACTACTTCAGTTGGTGCACTTTTCTTTATCTAAAACGAGAAGACATTAAAAATTTAGGGTAGTGATGAGGCTACTAAAATAGCACAGATATTTAGTTTTACACTCAAACAATAACAATATTTGTGTAAATTATGGCATTACGATTCTTAAATGCCTGGGCAAAGTAAATGATAACGCTGATTCCACAAGAAATGTAAGTTTGATGAATTAATAGTTGAAGGAAATTTAGTAAATAGGCCAGGCTTAGGGTTTCAAGAAGAATATTCATTACAATGTCATTGTTTTTACAAAAATACTTTCTGATTACTTCTGTCACATACATTAAAGACTCATTAAAGGACAGTATAACAAAAAATAAATGGTGATGGTTGAGTTAAAGTAAGGTGCTGAAATCAGTCTTATTTATGTGCTAATATCAGTATTATTTATGTGCTGATATCAGTCTTATTTACATGTACATTTACTTTTCAAACTATGAGATAAAGATTTTGCAAACTTTAGAAAAGACAAAGAATTTCCATTAGGACACTAATGAAGTTAAAGGCAGGAATTGAGAAACTGCTTAGAGAAATGCACTGAAATGGATTAAAATGTATTAAGTTCAAGTACTCATTCTAACCACTTCTTGCCAGAAAACAAACTTAAAATCTGAAAAATTTTAGCTATAATTATAACTCAAGAGAGCAGCATTAAGCCTCTATATCCAATTGCCCAATTCTGTCTTCTCTTTTCTAGCTTTGAGACCTTATGTAGCTAAGCATCTTGGTGTCTTGGATTCTGATATATTAAAAAGGTTTATTTTGTTACCTGTGCCCTTGTTATTTGGGTTAGTATATACAAAGGCTTTAGTACAGCATTACCTCAGCAAACTAAAATATCTTGGTGCCTGTGAGATGACTGAGGGGGTAAAGGCACTTGCTGCCAAGCCTGAGGAATGAAGTTCCACCCTTCCTACATGGTGGAAGGAGAGAATCAACTTCTGCAAGTTGTCCTCTGACCGCCACAAGAGGGGTGACATATGCACCCCTGACTGCACACAATAAATTTTTTGATGTTCTTAATTTTTTCAAGACTCAGACATCTTTGAGTAGAGACCTGCTGAGCACAGTTATGTACTAAGTAATGTCTACCAGTAAAGGGTTTGCAAAGGTAAATACTTTTCCCAATTATCCATCCCTAACAATAGCTCTAAAATTTGCCAGACATTGCTGCGAAAATGCTAACAAATCTCTTGTCTGTTAGATAGCATTGTGGAACACAATGGTAAGACTAGGATAAGAGATATATTCTGTAGGAAAGAGCTAATCCAAACAATCCAAATTATGTAAATGGTTGGCAGAGGCTGAGAAGAAGTTTGAGAATATTTAAATAAGTATTTCTCATCTAGGATGCTGATGGAATTACCTAAGATCCTGAAAAAAAAAAAAGTTTGGTAAAATGTTTGGGTTCCCAACATAGACTAAATCAGGACTCTTTAGATAACTCCTGGACATTATTTTGTTTTAGAATCTTCACAGTTGATGCCAATGCTCAACTAGGATGGAGAAACACCAAAGTTTCTATTTAGTAAGTTCCAAGTGTAGACACCGAGGTTCAGGAAGTGGCTTTCTGATGCAACAGCAAAAGCAAACTGAATTTCTTTCTACCATCACCTGGGACAGTCTTTTCTTCACAGGTTATTTCTTCGTTAGGACCTGTAGTGAAGGCTGTGATAGTAATCACATAAATGATCCCCATTTCAAGAAAATTTTATTAGATTAACTATAGGAGAAATTAAGTGATGACTATATATTGAAAAGGATAGATATAAAATAATTCTTCCTCATAATTAAAAAGGGAATATGGAACAAAGGTTTCATAGTATAGAATGATAAAAATTTGGAGAAATGTTATTACAGCAATAATAAATAATACAAATATGAAAGAGGTAGGAATACAAATCTGTATCAGTAATTATTTACCTCCAAAGTGGTAATAGTGAAGAAAAAGGATTATAAATTTTTATTTCCTATTTATAAACTTCATGGGTTGAAAGAAAATAGCAATCCCATAGTACACTGTGAAAAATGGTTTTTAAAAAAAAAGAAAAGAAAACAGACATAACACATGGCTAGGATGATTAGGCTGATGACTCTGTCAGTAAATTACTTGCATGAAGACTTGTATTTGGACCCTCAGTACCCACGTAAAAGCAAGATGTGGCAGTGTGTGTCTATAGACTCAGTGCTTGGAGGCAGAGATAGGCAGGTCTTGGTGGCTCACTGGTCGAATGCAGAGCTCTTAGTTCAGTCAGATACCCTGCCTCAAAAATGAGTTGAAGAAGTGATTAAGAAAGACATCTGACATTGACCTCTGGCCTTCACATATGCATGTACACATGCACATGTGCATACGCTATACACACACACACATACATATACACACACACACACATGAATGCACACACTCAAAAGAGACATAACATGGCTACAGATTGAGGATGACTTCTCTTGTACTCCGTATTCAAAGTAGCTCAGGAAAGCATTTACATTTGACCAAGTTTTGATTATTTTTTAACTATTGTTTTTTACATTTTCAAATTTATTTTGTTGTGGTAGCAGAGGAGAGAGTGATTTATGTGTGGAGATGAGGATAATTTGTGACAGTTATTTCTCCCCCTCCACCATATGGAATTTGGAAATCAAACTCAGGTCATCAGGCATGACAGCAAGTAGTCAAAAACTGGTGCATATTTAGAAGAGGACTTGGTTCAGTGAGATATTTTTTTTCCTCATAGACCAGAGAATTACTACATGGAACACTGCTCTTTTCTCTAGTATTTGAATATAAGCCTTTGTTTATGTGTGTACTTACCTCCTTTATTTTCCTAAGGTATGTTTCTACCTTTAGTAAATTCAAAATATATTTATCTTCTTTAATTATTCTTTTCTCTTAAAATAGATTTCTGCTGCAGAAAATAAAGGGAATGAGTCAGGTGTAAGAGAACTGCTACGGAGAATTGTGCAGAAAGAAGACTGGTTTTCCAAATTTCTGAATGTTCTTCACCGAACTGGAAATGATGCACTCTTCCAAGAACTAACAGGTTTCACTTGCTCAAGAAACAATGCAGGTATTTCTAATTTTACTGAGGAAGGATTTGTATGTAGTGTGATTGAGAATTTGATGAAGCCTCTAGACATAAGGCCAAACATCAAGATATTTAGAATCGGTGTTTTAAAATGGGAGGAAATATGATAGATCACTTCATTCCTTTTATAAATGAGAATGTCCATGTGTGGGAAAAGACTATGTCCCTGGGCTAGGGAATTGGTGGATGACTACCAGTTCTTTAACAATCCATTATCAATATTATTTTCAAAACAATATAATTGCCTGAAATTTTTATCAAGATATTTTTTAGCATTAGAGAGATGCAAATAAATTGCAAAAATACATTTCTTAATTTATGAATTTGATAAATGGCTTATAATTCCTAACAAATGTAGACTTAGAAATATTCAATAATAGTGTATAAAAATAATGTATTTTCACCTGTGTTAATTGTAAATCTAATTTAAAATCCCTCCTTGTTTTCTTTATTGTCATAGTATGTATCCTGTTTTCAAAAATGTATGCAGACAAGATTGCAAGTTTATCTATTAACAAAGTACCATATCAGTATTATAATCACTGCACACTTCCTTTACTTTTTTCTCTTCACTCAGTCATTCAGTCTTTCATTCTTTGAACTTATGCTTGTCACTGCTCTAGATGATGAGGATTTGGAGTTGCAGGAGCTATAGAAAGTCCGTCTTTGCCATACATTCTAGTAAATGATATACCCAGTGAATAACTTTTTAAATTCCCTACGCAAAATAAGAACAATCTTAAGTGGCATAAAAATGTGAGTGATGAACCAACTACTAAATCATAAGAGAAACATTTGCTATGTTTTGTTATACATTCTATGAAAAACTTTAACTTTTCCCCCAATAGCCTGAAAGACAGAACCATGTATTTCATTTTACTCATTAAAAGAGGTTAATTCAGACATCAATTCATGGTCTTTCAACCAAGAAGTTCTACTGTTTTACTATCATTACATATTCAGATTTATCTGTATCTATATCCATATATAACAATCTATATCTTTTTATATCATCTATATTACCTGTATTAATATCTAAAGAGACAGATAGGCACAGTGGATTGAAAAAAACAGAGACAAAGCTTTTTTTAGCTATGAGTTATTAAAAAATCTCTCAAGAATTATAAATGGCTTAAATGAACCTCTGTGCAAATGAACTATGAAAGATACCATGTAGCAATATGACTGGGGAAGATCACGTTTTTCCACCCTGAAATAAATACTATACAGTGTCATACGTTAGAAATGAACATAGGTAAAAAGCTCTGAGGATTTTGAAGCTATCCCAATTCCTTGGGAATTATTTAAGAATCTGAGAGACTTAAGAGTGGTACAACTAGCTTTTAAATGTCAGATAGTAATCCCATGCTCTGTTTATTAGCAAGTTCCTGGGTTCTGGTCATTGCTTCTGTTTATGTCACAAAGTGTAACTATCCTGGAGTTCCTTCTAGGAAGAAGCATAAAGAGAAGCATTATATTTACAGTCTCCAAAATAATGAGAACATTTCTGCTATTTAAGTCAACCAGTCTATAGTATTTTGTTCTAGTGACCTGATTTAACAATAGAAATTGCAGTACCAAAAAGAATGAGATAAGCAGATACCAAAACACAAGGAAGTGGCTCTGGAATTGAGAAGTAGACAGAAAGCAGGAGAGCTTTGAGCTGAACACTGAGGTAAAGGTGTTAAGAGTGATTTTGATGAGGTCTCAGAAGGGAATAGGGTACATGTTATTGGAAGCTGGAAGAAAGAGATCCTTGGTACAAAATGGCATAGACCTTTGAGAAACATTTTTCTGGTATTTTTCAGAAGATAGACTTTATGAGTGATAAAATAGGATATTTAACTGGGTAGATTCCTTCTTTTTTAAAATTTGTTTTTGTTAAATTTTATTGTATTTCATACAGAATATCACACACAATCTGAATCATCCAGCACCCTCCCATAGCCTCCCACTGGAACCCATATGCTCTGTCCTGGGTGTTAAGGCCCACTATGTCAAGTCAGTGTACCCAGACATTCCCCAGTGCAAGTCATTCCACTGGCAGTCTAGTCAGATCCCTCTCATCCATCTATCCAAACACCTATCATTTTCTTTTCTTTCTTTTTTTTTTTTTTATAGAGCATAGGGTGGGGATTTATTTACAGGGGAGTGGGTGCCCCACATTTACAGCTGTACTGGAAAGTCCATGCTCAAATATAGACCCTGTGACTTCCCGACAGCCACAGAAAATTGTGAGAGAGGTGCTTCCTGGCGTTCTCAGCTTCTATATCCTTAGCCCCTCCCCCACATGCAGCTAAGGTTGACTGATTGGGTGGGAGGGGCAACTGATTCCCACCTCGACTCCTTGATGAGGGTGGGCAGGAAGTGTGCCTATAGCTTGTTGACATAGTGGTTGGAGTACATTTCCAGTTAACACTCCACCCCTTCCTCCAGCTCTTACATTCTTTCGGCCAACCTCTTCCACATAAGTCCCTGAGCCTTGGAGAGGGTGGTAGGTGTGGGGTGTGGGGTGTGGGTAGATTCCTTCTTATTTAAAATTTCTCTCTCTCTCTCTCTCTCTCTCTCTCTCTCTCTCTCTCTCTCTCTCCACACCTAGAGACTTACCATAGCTGATAATATTCAGGTGGACTTTGAGCTTGAGACCTGAATGAATTGAGGCATTGGGGGCTTTAGAGATGGATGCATTTTTGCATGCAATGAAGATGTTAATGTGGGAAGCAATGTATGATGTTATGAAGGAAATTCTTTTCCCTTCCAAAGTCACATATAAGAGCCTTAATCTTTATAATGATTGAATCTGAAGGCTCTGTTTTCAAGAAGTAATTAAGGTTAAATGAAGTCATAAAGGTGAGGCCCGAATCTGGTGATTGTGGTTTTTTTATGTTGAGGAAGATAAAGAAGGATCTCTTTCTTCTCATCATGGAGGACATCTAAGAAGGAGATACATAGCTAGCTGAGCTCAATAGGCAACAGTCTGACTGGCACCATGACAGTTGACTACCAATGGCAGGACTATGAAGAATACATTTCTGCTCTTTGAGTGCCGAAGCTATGGTATGTTGCTGTGACAGAGAAACCCAGGCTTGGGATCCTTATGCTTATTTGCTCCTGGTTCCTTCCCTGCACTTGTGACCTTTGCCAGGTCCTAGACCTTCTGGTCTTCAACTTACTTGTCTATGACATGGGGATATTAATATCAGTTATTAGGCAGATTTATTTTGAAGAATAAATTGTTTAATGTATATAGTTGACTTCATAATAAGAATAAAATAAATTGATGATTTTAATTTTAAACCTCAAAAAATTTATTAGCTGTTGAATAAAGGAAAAGAGCTGCAGCATGACTCTTGGTTTCATACAGGAACTGATACATAATTGTCCTCTGGGAGCAAGGTTTGTTAGGAGATAGAGCTTCAAGGCCATGATTGGGCCTGTCAGTGGGAGACAATTAGATTAAAAAAATACAATATATCAGCAAGAGTATAACAGCACCCTAAAGGGAAGGAGAAGCTCCGGTTAAAACCTGAGAAGAACTTCTTTATGAGGAAGAGCTTAAGGACAGAGTAAGAGAGACTGCCTTCAAGGACAGGATGGTGCTGCAGGGGAGAAGACCAGAGAAGAAAACTTTCAGAGAAATCCCTGGAAAAAGGAAAATACCAGATTTTTACAACCTTTCAGAGGATGGCAGGAGGGTCCATGCCATGTGATTTAGTCTGGGATGGCCCATATGACTAGGAGAACAGAGGAGGATCATGTAACTACAGCACAGAACAACTGCTTACTCCTGTTGTCCCAGGAAGAGAGCATTTAGGGTGAAGGTCAGGCCATGGCCTGATTTCTTCAGGCATGGGTTCTAACCTCTTCAAGTGACTAAAAGGGCCAGGCACCTGACCTAACAGTAGCTAACTATAATCCTTGTCAAAATAGCTTTATCTCAAGTCACAACTTTTCTTCAGGTAATTCTCCATGCAAGGCCAACTGTGTTTCCCCTTGCTTTTTACAGTGTGCTTATGAAAATTTTTTATGGCTGCAGAATTCTCTGAAAGACTGCAACTTTGAGGAATGAAAACTCTTGATTTTCTTTGTATCCCTCCAGGCTTGTCCAATCGTGTGTGTGTGTGTGTGTGTGTGTGTGTGTGTGTGTGTGTTTAACATTTTGAGATTACAACACAACATTGACAATGTTGTAATCTACAAAGTTCATGCTGAGGACCCTGTGATATTTACAAAAATAATCGTCAAAAGAATCACAAAATGTATTAAGTAGATTTATGGTTTTATATTTGGCTGTGTTTACAGCTCTCTTCTATCACATCACATGTTCCTACATGCACTTGAACATGCATGAGGCCTTCAGGCTGCACCTTGGATTCCCCTGTGAGCTGAGGTTGGAAAGGAGAATGGAAGAATAGAGAAAATGGAAATATAGAATCTATCATCCAATTAGAAACATCCCCCAGGAATTTGGAACACGTGAATTCAGCCTGACATTAAAGCAGATGTACATCTCGTGTAGAGCACAGAGGCAGGGAACAAAATGGCAAGAGAACAAGCTGAAGAAAACTATCCAATTTGCATTTCCATTAATTCTGCCTTAAATATAGCTCTGAATTGTGGGGTCAGTGAGTGCCTTCGCAAAGCTGATGGCCGGCCACACAAGAAATCATCTCACCTTGTGATTTGCTTAGTATTTAATGAGATTATCTTTTTATATAAAATTTGGTTATTAAAATACTCAACTATGTTCATATCAAACATAAAAGTATTGTACATTGTGTGATAACAAAAAATATTTTAAGTAGAAATATATTTTAATTTAATAGAAATATATTTTAGAAAATATATTACAGAGTATTAGAAAAAGGATTTCTGTTTTGTTTTCAAAATAACAATAAGAGCCATTCAATTTACATTCTATTAAAAAATTGAAAAATTAGGGGCTGGAGAGATTGCTTAGCTTAGAGGTTAAAAGTACTTACTGCTCTTACAGAGGACCTGAGTTCAGTTCACCTGTAACTTCAGATCCAGAGTATCTGACACCTCTGGGCTCTGGGAGCACCTATACTCATGTG